GGTCTATACTGATATGAAACTGAATACAAATAGGTCTCAGTTATGATTAACGAGTTGAAAATTGTGCACTCGGAACAGTTCAATGTTACAACAAAATTATTTCTCTGGGGGAGGTCAACTGGACTAACACTGATAAATCCTAGCCAAGCCCTCTTGAATAAGCTACATAGTCAAGTAAGGATAATAATCATAATGAGACTGTAGTCCGCACATTAGTAATACATCTTTATGGTTTTCTTCAATGTCGATATCATCTAATGAACACTGATCTGTTCAACAACAGTACATGCAAACGCCAATAAATGTTCCAGTGTTTGCCACATTGTTCAGCTAGACGAATACAGGCTTTTATTTATTATATCGAAATTAAACGGCATAGCTAAATGTCAATTGGTACAGTTGACCTTATTCGCATTTAAGAGTTTAATCGACCTAAAAAATTATGTCAGACACAAGTCCGTTAATTAGCGCTTAATACGACCAATATTTCTGTAACAGTATCAAAAATCATTACGTGTGACTTTACTAATGCAAGTTTGTTTTCCTTATTGCAGGACAACAGAAAGTGAACGTACTAGAAGAAGAAGAACAAGGCTTTCGCAAGCTAAACCTGCTGGATAATGAGTAAAACCATTTTGTAATAGACATCCCTTTTTGTACTTAAACCGCGTAATTCAATTTTAATATATCTCCGTTGTGCTCGCACGCCGTGTTCTCACTTGAGTGGCATCTGCCAGTTCTGACTCTGTTGTGTTGTGTTTCATATCGCTTCTGCTTGCAAGTAAACGCTAATAATACGTGCTACAAGTGGTGATGGAGGTATCTATGGCAAAACATGATGAACAGTATGATGAACCCCAGTCATCCCAGGCAAGGTAACAGTCAGCACAACGCCCCGCCAACCGCCACTGTTAGGAGTTTCATCAGACTATGATATCTGGAAAATCAGAGTATAGACGTGCATACGTCGAGTTCCAACGTCAGAACACTTCGACTACCTTCCGTCCTACTTAGATGACGAAGCAGCGAAACGAGCGACAGCTAACGGCTTTACTGCGTGCAATTCACCATCTCAAAATTGGAAGATTTTGGATGAATGTTTTTCGTTGAAGGTGGATACCCAGCAGACGGCCATCCAATTTTCGTCGCGCCACCAGAAACCGCATGAAGGCCCCATCGATTATCTTCACTCATTACATCAGATAGCAACCCAGGCATTCCCAAGCCTTGACATCTTGGGGCGAAAAGAAATTACACGCTCCCGTTTTATTGAAAGACTGCTGTCAGGTGCACTGAGAGAACATATCCTCCGAGTTCCACCGGCTGACACAGCCGATTTAAAACGAACAGCACTTCGATTTTTGACTGCTGAGAGAGTGTCAGTTCCATTGGCGACCTATCAACCAACAGTGATGACTATTGAGGAAGCCACCGAACCTAATCGACAAGATAGCTTTCAAAGTGCCGCAGCTACTAGAGAGTTCCCCGACCGGAATAGTGGACGAGGGCAGCCAACTCCCACGTGGAACGGACGGTCGTCAAGGAACAACTATCAGGACCAGCAAATAGAATGTTTCTACTGCAGACGTTTCGGCAAAAGTACCAAGAAATGCTGGCATAACCGCGTCAAAAACAGAGGTAAGCAGTGCCGTCTGCACATATCGTCTTGCTATGTTAAACATTTATGCTCTGTTACTATTAGGTTAGAGTGCAAAGCACTGAGATTAATATACTATTTGATACAGGAGCTTCAGTATCCTTGATCAAGGAAGACCTCTTGCAGAAACCTAACCACAGCACTCAACGTAAACAATGCTCTTCTACATTAATTACCGCGAGCGGAGAACCCTTGAAAGCGTGTTCTATGATAGGGTTAGAGCTAACTATAGACAAGAAGCCTTTTCAACATGAATTCTGGGTTTGCCCCACACTAACTTGGGACATGATTCTCGGGGTCGACTTCATGTTAAAATACCAGGTCTCTATATACATGAATAAGTCAGAAGCGAGTATCAGTGGAGTTTTCGTGCACATACAACACCATGAAATGCCAACTAAGTCCTTAGCCCAGGTGGGAATTTCAGAAATTGTACGTCAGGTACAGGACAATAAAATAATAAGTGAAAAAGACCGTCGAGCAACCACTGATGTACTCCAACAATTTAGTTCCATTTTCTCTGAGAATATCTCTGGAAGTCGGACGACCACTGTACAGCACTCCATCCTCACAAGGGATGACACGCCATTACGTCAACCACCTCGCCGAGTACCAGTACATTACCAGCCTCAATTAGAATCAATGATAAAAGATATGCTAGAAAAAAAGATTATTGTACCATCTTCATCACCATGGGCATCGCCTATCGTTTTAGTGAAAAAGAAAGACTCCTCCCTACGACTATTCGTAGACTACCGCCGCCTTAATGCTATAACTAAACGTGATTCCTTCCCACTTCCACATTTAGACGCTACATTAGATACCATGAAAGGCGCTCGTTGGTTCTCGACTTTAGACTTAGCATCAGGGTATTGGCAAGTGGAAGTCCGACCTCAAGATAGAAAAAAGACTGCATTCACAGTACCCAATAGTCTATATGAATATCAAGTGATGCCGTTCGGGCTAACTAATGCCCTAGCCACCTTCCAACGATGCAGACAGTTCTACACGGTCTCGTACCGCACCAGTGTTTAATTTACCTTGACGATATTATTGTGTATGGCAGCACGTCGGAACAGCATAATGCCAATTTGAAGGCAGTCCTACAACGAATTAAGCAGCATAACCTAAAATTTAAACCATCTAAATGTCGACTATTGCAAAAAGAAGTGTTCTTTTTAGGGAATCGCATTACGGAAGAGGGAGTAGCAACAGATCAGGAAAAAACGAGCGCCATTGTTAATTGGCCACAACCGAGATCTGCCGAGGACGTTCGCAGCTTCCTGGGACTCGCTTCTTATTGTAGACGTTTCGTAAGCGATTTAGCATCCCTGGCATCACCTCTACATCGCCTGACGCACAAAGGCCGAACATTTTTGTGGACCACAGAATGTCAACGAGCATTTAACACTTTGAAGTCATGTCTTGCTGCTCCACCCATACTAGCTTTTCCGGACACTTCTGCTAAAGCGGGTGAGTCTATACTTGATACAGATGCTAGTTCGTCAGCTATTGGAGCAGTCCTGTCTCAAATAGCACAAGACAGAAAGGAACGGGTCATTGCGTACGCTAATCGGCGGTTAGATAAAAGAGACATGGTATTCTACGACGCGCCGAGAGATGCTGGCTTTGGCAAACTTTTTGCAACATTTTCGTCACTATCTCTTAGGACGACCCTTTCGTGTACGCACAGACCACCGTGCACTACAGTGGCTTCATTCGTTCCGTGAACCAGAAGGTCAGGTAGCGCGCTGGCAGGAGAGGTTGCAGGAGTTTGATTTTACTTGAGAATACCGACCCGGAAGCCGACACACAAATGCTGATTCTCTATCTCGTATACCCTATTCGCCTGATACCATTAGTGCCGTCCTCAGCACAGCCCCCGAGATCGACTGGCCGTCTCCTCAAGCACTAGACCCAGATCTGCGATTTATTTATCAGAGGCAACTACATGGTAATAATAAACCATCTATGATAGAGTTGAAGGATCATTCATTGGCGAAGTGGGACAGTCTAAGATTGTATGAAAACACGTTATTTATAATCAGTGAATCAAAACATCACGTGTACAAGTTCATAATAGTATGGAGCAGGTACACCGAGGACTTGGGCATTCAGGAATACGGAAGACTGAACATGCTATCTGCCAGAGGTTTTGGTGGCCATCTATCCACGAAGACGTTGCAGAATTCTGCAAAAATTGTAGCACGTGCTATGCTATTAAGTCACCCCGACAAATACCCCGTGCGTCCTTAGTTCCAATGACGACAGAAGGTCCTCATCAGCGAGTTGGTATCGATATTATGGGGCCACTCACAACGTCAAAGAACGTAAACCGTTATATACTGGTTATGGTATACTATTTCAGCAAATGGTGTGAAGCTGTTCCTATACCACAACAAGATGCCCTCACAGTCACTCGGGCTTTCATTGATCATTGGGCATCCCGGTACGGCGCTCCCCTCTCACCCCATTCTGACCAAGGTTCAGCTTTTGAAAGTAATCTCGTCGCCCAGGTATGTCGATTATTGGGAATCCGAAACACACTACCACATACCATCTAGAAGGTAACGGCTTAGTGGAAAGAACCAACAGGACTGTCAAAACTCTCCTACAGTCGTTTATCAATAAGTCGTCGACGGAATGTTGAGATGACGTGATACCCCAATGTCTGTTAGCTTACCGCGCATCAGTGCACGGATCTACTGGATTTTCACCTGCGACCCTACTTTTTGGACATGGATTGCGCCTACCCGTTGAGCTTTAAATACCGTTGTTACCATGCGAGGCCCAAGATCATATAGTATACGTCCGTAACCTTCGCAGCCGCCTATCGCTTAGTGAAGATCAACCTACAAAATGCCAGCAAGCACCAAAAGGATGTGTACGATCGCAAGGCGAATGGGCCCGTGTATAAACCCGGAGATCGTGTTTGGTTGCACCGCCCTATGGCCCCACAAGGGACATGTAGCAAGTTCCATCGCCCTCGGCAAGGACCTTATGAAGTTGTGTTTACGCGGTCTTCCACTACATTCGTTCTACGTAACCTCCAACGACCCCAAGACGATGTTATAACAGCACACTATAACCAACTGAAGCCAGACAAAACAACGGTGCACTTAGACCACCTGGAATACTAAATTTTCTCCTCGATGCCTGGTGTTCCTAGGCCTAATTAAACTTAGCTAGTTAGTTGTAAACACTATTAAACTTGGTAAATCATGCTGCAGCTAACTGTTTTAGAATCAACATGTATCGCGTAACAGATTAGTTGAACTGCATCTTTAACGAAGCGCTGATCAAATTTGTTTTGAAAGACGGCGTAACATAAATTCTAGACAAGTGTTGTTACACAATTTATATTTTATACATGTTATTAACAGCATTTCCATCTTAGTTTTATCAGTACAGTAGAAGACAGGAACATTTAGTGAGAAAACATCCGTCGTGCAAAGGATAAAAATACAAATATAATAGAAGTAAATCAGGAAAATATATTCTAAACATGAATACAGGTTGATTAAGGGAAGCAAAAGATAATATGACAATAATGAAGAGCAACAGTATATACCTAGCTACATACAATAACATGAGTGATGAGAAATACTGTTTTTGAACTCACATTGTTTTTAAAGTAGCAGTAGTTGTTTCATATAATACACATTATTCAGACTTACATAGATCTACTAACATACAAGCAAACTACCAAAAGACAACAAGAAAGTTTTACAGCAAATTGAAGTACAATCACTTAAAAATCAGTAGAAAAAACCTTAAGTTATCAAGAGATCGGAATCTTAAATGAAGAATTGCATATAAAAATTGGTGTTACATGTAGAACAAGAAACAGTAAAATGTAGCCAAAAAAAGTATCGAATATATTTTCCAACGCCGTTAACTCTAAACAGTTACAGTTGATGACAATGCTGTACGTGTAGATGATGAACTAGGCATATGCTCTGATTGCTCTATACAAAAAGCTCCATTGTAATTATTATTATTATTATTATTATTATTATTATTATTATTATTATTATTATTATTATTATTATTATTATTATTATTATTATTAGTTGTATTTACTGATAAACTCAATGAGTTACCACTTGTTTTCGATTTGCATTGATTTCCAGGAGCATCTAAGCATATACTGGTAGTGACTTCACTGTTTACTAAAACACCGAAAGAAAAAATACTTGGAATTAAGTTGGCTGAAAAATCTTTTTAGAGAAACAGTAGGAAAAATGAAATATATATATATGATCATTCCACGGCAACCCATGGAAATGTGAACATTTCACAAAGCAGAAAGCTGCGAGTACCTTTTAAAGTAATTTAAATATCATCTCAACTAACAATTTGGTTGGATGATTGTTTCAATGATGAGATAACATCAAGGATACACAAACGTCGTCTTATTGTGTCAATACTATTCTGAAAATCGATGAAATTCAGTTCATAACTAATACCAAAGATTTTAGGTCTTGGAATTAAACACAATTATTGTACATTAGTTTTTATCATTTACTACAGACTAATCTGTCCCCAAATATTCCCTATTCGGGGCAGTACATTTACCCTATTTTCCCTGTCGAAAACACTTGTGGAAGTTCTCAAAAGTAAGGCTAATTAGATGTTTTTTTTTTCGCGTAATGCTAGAGTGATACGCACAAACGATTTCCACCATCATATACTTTAACATGTTGCTCGAACTTCATAGATATATGTGTAAAGATAATTCATTCTAAACATTTACTTAAACCTAAACAATGAAACACTCGACTTTCAACTAGAGGTACTAGTTCGAACGCCATTAGGTTAACTCCAGACTAGGGGTGCTTAATATCTGGCTCTATGTCATAATTATTCAATTAATATATGACAATATGCTAAAATGAATATGCCCTACAATTTAGGAATATAAAGAAGAAAATGTTAAATAAGAACATTTATTACAACTTACTCATGTCGTCTGACAAAGCTGTAAATCGATTAACAGGACTTCTTGAAGTACAGGTTTCACTGCAATTCGCTGACACTACTCCAGTATTTTGACCATTGTTACAACTGATTGATGAGCCTAACTGACAACCACTAGCTTTTATGGAACCGATATTATTGATTGAAGCATGCTGAATGGATTTATGAGGATAGGATTGAATATCTGCATTCGATGTTGCAGTTGACAAAACTATATCACTGGCATTTTGCATATAGGATTCCGCTAGAATTTCTTGTTCCATAGCCAAGCAATCCATAAAATCACTGTCAAGTAATTAGTAACGGGAGTGTGTACGAAATAAAGCATAAAAACAAAAATTTCACATTTAAATTCATCACTTTACAAAGTTGTAATAATCTCAGAAGTCATGGAATAAAAACAAGCAGTCAGGCAAATGTTTGTAATTAATTTTCCATTATAATAGCATAGCCTAAATAAAGAATGTTATTTATTATCTAACACATAACGGCAAAACATTGATTTGTAACTTCATTTCTACGCGTTACCCTTCGTGGAGTAGCATAGGCCGCTTACTAACATTCTCCATCCAACTCCGTCCTGTACAATCCTTTCTACTGGCCCTTCATCCTTTTGATATCTGCTTCCAATTATCGGCGCAGTGTTTTTGTTCTCTCTTTTCCGTTTTTCATCAGGATTAAGGGCTAGCGCCTGTTTCGTGATGCAGTTTGATGCTTTCCGGCTGTCCTATCCACATTCAGAGTCTTTCTCTGATTTCCTCTTCAGTTAGAAGCTGATTTGTTCTCTTCCACAGTAGGCTGTTGATGGCATCTGACCAACGGACATTGAGTATCATGCGTAGTGCAATTGTTTATAAGTACTTTTTGTGGTAGTTCACTAGGTTTCAGTTACGTACAATAGAACTGTCTTGACGTTCGGATCGAATACGAGTTTGTGGGAGGACACTATGACACCTAAAACCATTTTGTTGAATGCACATTGATTCGCAAATCTCTTATCGTCTTCGTCTCTTTTTTCCAGTCCACGTCGTTCAATTATATCTCTATACTCGTTATTATCCATTATAACTTTGGCATTTAGGTCTCCTATTAAGATAGTCAGGTTCTTTCCTGAACACTTCGCTATGATCGATTGCAGCAGCTCATAGAACTGATCTTGGTGGAAGCACAATATTGGATAACAAGCATTGTGATTCCCTTCTTTGTTTTGAAGGATGCTTTGATGATCCTGGATTCGTGAGATTTTCATCCTATCAGTGCTATACGTGCTTCTTTAGATGGAATCAGAGCAACTCCTTGAGTGTGCAACCGCATTTTCTTCTTCGTGATCGGAGTACAGCAGCATCTCTCGCAAATCTAACCTTTTCTGTACAGCTTGGGTTAAATTGGTTTCACTGATTCCGAGAACAGTCAAGTAGTGTCTTCTTATTCTCACGGCTATTTGATTGGTCCTCCCGGTCTTCCATATTGTCCGAACATTCATTGTACCCATATTAGTTGTTGCTCTGGGTGTTAGAAAGGGCATCAGCCTCTTGACTTCCGAAGAATATAGGTTTTCACCAAAAGGTGTCATAGTTCTTCACAATAAAGATCCTTCAACTTTATTTTGGCTAACGTTTTTTAGTAAGGTTATTTCCTACGGGATGTATATACGTATTGAGCAGATGAGTAATTTGTAACGAATGTTAATTCCATACTGAGAAATGACTAACAGTTTTTTTAATACTACAGTCGTTTCGTCATATCAATCTACATTATTAGGACATCTTGTTCCGTTTAAACAATGTATTCGATTTAATAAAAAACTACATATATTGAATGGTTGTGCGGTGAATGTCAGTGGAATATCAGTAAAAGAAAGTAAAGTAGCTACATAAAACCTTATGTTAAACAAAGTAGGACAAGCAGCGCGATTAGTTTCATATTGTTTGGGAATAAAAGGATAGAAATAACAGAACAAAATATTACCACGGAACAGTTAATAATAAACAACAATGAAAAGAATCCAGATAAATGCATAGGCTCAATATCCCTCAAACTATGTAAAAGTGAGAGGAAGTCGCGGAAAAATATATTACCCAACTACAAGTTTTTTTGGGAATGTTATCACAATTACATAGGTTAATTGAACGGCGTTTCACGTCCAGAAAGTTACAGTTGAGGGACAAAACCAACCAAAATTGGTTGAAAAGTAGTATGTTTCACTTTTGTTTCATAAAGACTGACAAAGATGCTGTAACTCGTAAAAATAGGGGAATGTCTTAATCGGAATCAGGATAGTAAGGATTGTCACTCATCAATACAAATCATAGAGTAAGCAAATATTTTACTAGACAATTCAAGTCACACACTGTACTGGTCAGTCAGCTACAACGTAGGACCAGATACATATATGCTTCGGTTCAAGTCCCTATGCCCCATTAACACAGAAAGATGAACACCGAATTCATAGTAGTTACTTCAGTGGTAGTAATTTATAGAAGATTGCATATAAGGATATAATACACGGAGAAAGAATTGATCAGTAGAAAGAAAGGTATGAAGTAATTTTAATCTCATAGTTTTCATACCGACATTGGTGGAAAGCCGGTTACTGAAAATTATATTTAGATAGACGAAAGACTACGACAGTTGTAAAAAAACACTTACGCAATGTTAGGATGTGAAGACTTTTTTTTATCCCTACGATATATTCGTGCAAACTCATCATGACGTGCTGTCTTCTTCCAAAGGTAATAAAAATGAATCAGTTCCGACACAGTTTTATGACGAAGCTATAAAATGATTTTATTTGACAAAAACAAACAATCAATAGAAGTTAATCAAACAGGAAAAACACGATGGATTTTAGTGCATGTAGTAGGCTTTTAGTTTTTGAAACTTCAGATTCTATTAAAAAACAATTGAGGGTCATGAATGTGGATTGCTTACAACTTTCCAATGCTTTTCCATATCATCAATTTTTTGATAACTATACCTTTCAATTTCCTCAAAAAGTTGATTAGATTCGTTTATATCAATTGAATTAACGAGTTTCCAAGTTAATAAAAGAAATTGATCAGTGAAATAACACGGAAGAGTAAAAAAACGACAACATGTAGGGTAACCATACCTATTCATGTTACATACATCATGGAATTAAAGAAAACTTGAAGCACAAGGGTGTCTACTGGAAATATATTTTCTTGACGTGATTGAGTAGTTAGAAATGATACTGTCGCAAACAAGCATGAAAGCTTCCCAATCAAACTGCTAAGGTTTAGAGTACACTATACTCCCGAAGCGAAGTATGGACAACGGAATCACCATTTAGCATACTATTCCAGAACAAAGAAATAATAACAGGATAAATATTTTAGTGGTGGAATTATACGAAATGAACAAGACAACCAATCGAAAACCTGTCAGCAGTGAGTTATTTTTATTATTCAGCTTGCAAAACTAATTTTTAAAAATGACATCGTGTCATTTACGTTTGTGATTGGCAATATGCAATATAGCCTTGACGTTTGGCAACAAAAAGTTGAAAGCACACAATTCAACTTGTCGCAATCTACACTAACACGATGGATGATTCAAGAACAGGAGAGTAAAAATGTAGACGACCAGATTGATTAACTACCACGTCCATACAGTTTAAACGAATGATAAATGATTTAATAGATTTCTGCCATGTAAACAGAATGACCGGATGATTGTCTTTTTCAGTTCATTTCTACTTCAGCTACCTAGTGAACATAAGGAATTTCCTAGAATATATTCATCATTATGCATATCTCAACTATGGTCAAGTCGCAAGTTAAGGCTTAACTATGTTATCTAGTCGTTGACGCATGTAAAAAAATACGTTTCCAATTATGTTTAGCAACAGTAAACGTGGTATACATCAGTTCATATTTCCTTTTTATTGAATAAATAGATATATCATGATAAACAGATTCATGCCTATTTACCATTAAACATTGAATATTGTGTCTATAAACATTATGATAGTAGTAAATTGAATCTGACCATTCTATTTGTTGGCATGGAAAAACAGATCTAGATAGATAATGCGGTATTTGAGGTAAGTGAAATCTACTCACTCGTGTCTCTCGTATTTGACGAAAATCTTTTCCACATAAAGCGAAACTTTTCTCAAATGCTGCACAATCAGACTCCGACCATGAATCTAGATAACCGGGAACAGCTGGGAATGAAATAAGAAAGGACAGTACATAATGGATAATGTCTGCGATTATAACAACTAGATCTATATTCACCAACTATATAAACTAGTCTCACCTATTGGTTTAATCAACCTTACTTTTCTTTATTTCAATCACACTATTGGCCAGCATCGAACTCTGAAGTAGTCTTACGCAACACACAACGCAAAAACTAATCTCATTTTTCAACTTAACATATTTATCTCGTACTCTACATGTAACTTCGACACTACACAGTCGAAAGTTTTACCAAACAAGAGTAAATATGTCTGTACTGAAATCTAGCGACCTATGAACACTTTCTATCTGCTATCAACTTGAATTATGCAAAATAAAAAAGTTCAGGGCTGAAAAAGGAGCTATTTATCATTCCAAAACATTTCTTGCACTTTATGAGAATTCCTATTTGTGGGAATCAGTCGGTCGCAACATGGGACCTGGTACTTGATGATTCGCGTAAATAAATTGTAAACAATCAATACAAAAACGAATTAAAAATTAGCGTTGCTACCTAATGTAACATGATATAATTAACGAAAACAATGTTGTGCATTGATTTATTTTAACATATTCGTATATATATAAACCAACTTTAATTTATCGATAACAATAGCAAACTATACACAAATTTCAATCTGGAATCTTATAAAGTGAAGATTATGCAGATCGTTAGTAATATTAAGCCATAGCATAGAGATAAATGGCCGGAAGTACATAGTACTTAAGACGAAATACGCCTATTTACAACTTCCGTTTGTTTAAAACTAAGATAAATGTTTACAAAAAACGTACAGTCCGGTTTACTTCTGAATCGCATTTCGCCTTTTACATGATAAGTTTAATTTTTTCAAGTGGTTGGTTTTTATAGCGAATACATATTTAACGACCATCTCCGCCTGGAGTCCCTCCGGGAGCTACTGTCGGTCCCAAGCCCGGATAAAGGAGGAGGGTTGGGCATGGGGTTAGCGTCCCCATTCCGTAGAAAACTAACTCGCTAAAAAAACGCTAACCAGAAAAAAGTAAGTAAGTACGTTTACCACTGGACCGATACAAACGATCTTCCAAAGAAATATACATTATTCTGACATTAAGAAACAGGCATCTAGTACAAATTACTACGCAGTCAAAAACATGCAAATCGAATTACAATATTAGTGAAAGCAAAAACACCCTATCATCATACCATTGACTCATTATTAACGCAGAGCCTGGTAAAGATGTGCATTGGCTTGAATTGTTATACCATATTAGTACGACGAGATGGAAATAACAAGATGGAGAGCAAAGGGAATCGAAATAATGCAGTAGCAATGATGATAAAAGAGTGTAATAGGATTTACTTGAGGAACACTCATGAATGTGTACTATTAATAAGCATAGGTATGTAAAGGAATGTATATAGGAAGAATGCGATTTATCATATGCATTTATAGCATGATAAAAATTAACTGATATAACTGCCTAAACATTTATGGTGCAATTTTACATGGGATACTGTTAGCGGGACATAGACTAGATTAAAGCATGCTCAATGCATGATTGCTTTGCTGCACGCTGATTGGCTGATTCTTATCCAATCAGCACCAGTCGATAGTCGGAGAATATTCTGGGATCTTCTTATGTAAAAAACTATAAATATACTGACGTTTTTCCCTATTATGCTTCTGACTTGCTATTTGGAATATAATCTTTTCCCTGTTCAACCGTGTTCTGATTTGGGGACTTGTCGAGTGAATCGGTGTCCGAGAATACTAAGCAATAGGAATAGCTGGGTCATTAACCGTAAGAAACAGAGTTATAACAGTGGCGACGGGGAAAAAGGAAAACAAATTCAAGATGCCCATATCAGATGACCAGCTTAACCGAATACTACAACAACAGCAAGCACAACTTGATGCACAAATGCGGTTGTTAGAGACCCTGACTCAACAGCTCAACATTCACAGCTCGGGTTCACATGCTATTTCAAGTACGTCTTGTGATGCAGTTGCTAGCAGCATCCCAGAATTCATCTATGATCCCGAAGGTGGAAATACTTTTCTCACGTGGTTCAAACGTTGGGAAGATACATTTAGAACAGAATTCTGTAACCAAGACGATGCGTGGAAGACCCGATTGTTGGTACGTAAGTTGGGAGGCAATGAACATGCACGTTTTGCTGACCATATATTGCCAAAGTTACCTCGAGAGCTCAGTTTCGAGGAGACGGTATTTCAGTTGTCAGAGATATTCGGCGAGTCATCCTCGTTGTTTAGTATTCGTTATCGGTGTCTAAATTTGGTGAAACGCGAAGCTGATGAATATGGTGTTCTAGCAGACATTGTCAACAGAGAATGTGAACGTTTCAAGTTACGCTCGTTGACTGATGACCAATTTAAATGCTTAATATTCATCAAAGCTCTTCAGTCACCACAAGATGCTGAGATCAGGACGAGACTTTTAGCTCGACTGGATCAAGACCCAAACGTCACACTCAGAACATTGACAGATGAGTGTAAGCGTCTACAAAGCATCAGACACGACAACGAGTTGATTGAACAGGTAAATCCTAAATTAACCTGCGGTAGTGTAAATACTATTACTAGGTTAAAAGTTCAGAAGCCGGTAACAACTCGTAACAAACCAAGGACTGCATGCTGGTTATGCGGTGATTGGCATTATGCACGATTCTGTCCATTCAAGAAGCATAAATGTCAGGAGTGCAACAAACGTGGACATAAAGAAGGTCATTGTCCACCGAAGCGTACGTCTCAGCCTAAGAAGAAGTATAAACGTCCTCGACATGTGAAATCAGCCGAGTCTAAATCTCTTTCTCTGGTAGCTGCTTTTCAAACAAACTATGACATTCGGAGAAAGTATGTTACCATCCAGATAAACGGCATATCAGCTCGTCTTCAAATTGACACGGCATCAGATATCACGTTAGTGTCTAGAGAAACGTATAACTTGCTGGGTAAACCGCCAATGAAGCCATCTAAGAAAACGGCTAAAAACGCATCAGGTGGTGTGCTAAAACTGGTTGGTGAATTACAGTGTGAATTTTCCTTCAATGGAACTAACTGTACAGGAATATGTTACCTAACAGAACGGCCGAACCTTGACCTTCTTGGTCTAGATATGCTAGACAAACTTGGAATAATGGATATACCAATTAACAGTGTCTGTAACGTATCGTGTTCATCATTGGACACCCCATTACTTCCAAAGAAGACAGATGAACGGTTACTAGAAAAACTGAAAAGAAAGTTTGCCTCTGTTTTTCAGAATAGCCTTGGCCACTGTACCAAGATGAAAGCGCACTTACCAGTGAAACCAGATGCCATACCTATTTTTCGCCCGAGACGTCCTGTGCCATATGCTGCTCTTGAGCTAGTCGACCAGGAACTTAATCGCTTGCAGCAGGCTGGTGTAATCCGACCAGTTAACTACTCTGCATGGGCCGCACCGATTGTAGTGATTAAGAAGGCCAATGGGACTATACGCATATGTGCCGATTTCTCGACCGGTTTAAATGCTGCGTTAGATGTATATCAATATCCCTTACCAGTTCCGGAAGACCTGTTTGCCAAGCTTAATGGTGGGACATGTTTCGCGAAAATAGACTTCTCCGATGCTTATCTCCAAGTGGAAGTAGATGAAGATAGTAGAGAGCTTCTGACCATTAACACTCATCGAGGGTTATTTCAATACACCCGTCTACCATTTGGCATCAAGACCGCACCCGCCATCTTTCAGCAAATAATGGATACGATGCTAACAGGTATACCTGGTACAGCAGCTTATCTAGATGATATCATAGTTATGGGTTCAACTGACAGTGAACTTTCTGATCGACTACACCAAGTCCTTAACCGAGTGTTGGAGTATGGTTTCCGACTACGTGAGGAAAAATGTATCTTCTTCATGCATTCGATCAAATACCTTGGTTTTATCTTAGATAAGAACGGTCGCCGACCAGACCCTGCCAACATCGAAGCCATTCAGAAGATGCCTGCACCAACTGATGTTTCTTCATTAAGATCCTTCTTGGGGTTAATCAGTCATTACAGCACATTCTTGCCTGAAATGCACCGAGTGAGAGGTCCCCTAAATGAATTACTATCGAAAGATAAACCTTGGCAGTGGTCAGCAGAATGTCAAGCATCTTTTGACAGAGTCAAATCAATGCTCAGCTCAAAGATTCTTTTGACGCACTTCGATCCCAGCTTGGAAATTGTTGTTGCATCTGATGCCTCTAGTCATGGAGTTGGAGCAGTGATATCTCACGTGTTTCCGGATAAATCAGAGAAGACAATTGCCCATGCTGCTAGATCACTTACTCCAGCCGAGCGAAACTACAGCCAAATTGAAAAGGAAGCTCTTGCAATCATTTTCGCAGTCAAAAGATTTCATAAAATGCTCTATGGTCGTACATTTACTCTACTGACAGATCACAAACCTTTGATTGCAATCTTCGGTTCTAAGAAAGGAATCCCTGTCTATACGGCTAATAGACTACAGCGCTGGGCAACAATGCTCCTGAGTTATGATTTTAATATCAAGTATCAGTCAACAAATACTATCGGTCAAGCTGACGCTCTCTCCCGATTAATTGGAGTTCAACATCCTGGACCAGAGGATATAATCATTGCCTCCACAGCAGTAGACCCAGAAATACGAAGTATAGTGGCAGATGCCATTCGAAACACTCCAGTGTCGTCAGATGAAGTCAGGGAAGAAACGCTTCGAGACCCAACACTACAAGAAGTTAGAAAGTTCCACCTAGAAGGGTGGCCCTCGAAAATCTATTCCATAGACCTTCAACAGTTTTACCAGCGAAGACTCTCTCTTTCAATCATCGATGACTGTCTGCTGTTTGCCGAACGTGTCATAATTCCCAAGAAGCTACAACCAGCAGTGCTTGAACAATTACATGCAGGACATCCTGGAATAAATCGCATGAAAGCACTAGCACGAAGTTATGTATACTGGCCGCATTTAGACACCCAACTGGAGAAGCTATCCCGTTCGTGTACCAAATGTGCATTAGCAACAAAAGCACCGCGAAAAGCAGAGCTGCAATCATGGCCAATACCACAGTCACCGTGGCAGCGTATACATTTGGACTTTGCTGGTCCACTTCATGGACAAACTTACCTTTTGGTGGTTGATGCATATAGCAAGTGGCCAGAAATTTTTCTCATGAAACACCCGACTGCAAGCTGCACAGTCAGTAAACTACGTCAACTATTCAGTCGTTTTGGAATCCCGGAATTGATAGTTAGTGACAACGGAACACAGTTTACGTCCGAAATCTTCTCACAATTTTGTCGGCAGAACGGAATCCAGCACATCCGAACACCTCCATACCATCCCCAATCAAATGGCCAAGTGGAACGCTTTGTGAGTACATTTAAAAATGCTCTAAAAAAATCCAAAGGGGAAGGGACCACTGAAGATATCTTAGAGAGGTTCCTGTTTATTTATCGTTCTACACCGAACCCTCAGACAATTAACGGGCTCTCTCCAGCAGAAGCTCTACTTGGCAGAAAGATACGTACACATTTCGATGTCATCCGTCCTACGCCAGCTATTGAACCCCAACGAAACCTATCGATGGAGAAACAGTTTAACCGACATCAGGGGGCACAAAGACGATTGTTCACTGTGGGACAAAAAGTGCTTGCTATGGACTATCGTGGGAAACATCCTATATGGACAGCTGGTCGGATCTTGAAAAAGAAGGGGAGTGTGGTTTACGAGGTGTCAGTTGGCTCGGAAGTTTGGGTACGTCATGCTAACCAATTGAAAGCAACTTCGATAGCCAGCAACAAGATTCAATATCGATTACCTCTTGATGTTCTGCTAGACACCTTTGAAATCAAAACGCCGGGAATAGACACATCAGTTTCTGTGCAAGAAAAGAGTGATACTTCTTTATTGCCTAGACGATGGACTAATCGAAAGCACAGGCCAGTCACTCGGTTGCAGTTGGACCCTAGCACCAGATCCTACGAATCTGCTCAGAGGGGAGGTGTTAGCGGGACATAGACTAGATTAAAGCATGCTCAATGCATGATTGCTTTGCTGCACGCTGATTGGCTGATTCTTATCCAATCAGCACCAGTCGATAGTCGGAGAATATTCTGGAATCTTCTTATGTAAAAAACTATAAATATACTGACGTTTTTCCCTATTATGCTTCTGACTTGCTATTTGGAATATAATCTTTTCCCTGTTCAACCGTGTTCTGATTTGGGGACTTGTCGAGTGAATCGGTGTCCGAGAATACTAAGCAATAGGAATAGCTGGGTCATTAACCGTAAGAAACAGAGTTATAACAGATACAAGGGATAGACCCTGGCGGAAATGTGAATTAGCCAAACTTATCATATCAAGTCAGTCAAACGAGATGACAATAAAAAGCAAACAGTAAACGAGTCTAAATAACTGTACCGGAATAGATACTGAGAGAAACTAAACATTAGAGAATATGGTCCGGAAAAAAGTATACATGAAGGAATATTGAAACTAATGATCTAAAGGAGGATGGAGAATGAATGTATTTGTTCCACTAAATCCGGTTTTAAACTATGTTATCTAGTCACTCACCAACTAGTAATTGAGTGGAGCCCAACTAGGTAGTGAGGATGTACCAGCACACTTCAGTCTAACAGTGAATGATTCCATGGACTGATGCTAGCTTTTGGTTTATCTGCCCCTATTTTTTGCAAACTACACCTACTACAGTAAATATTACTCATCGAGGGAGATAGTGGGGGGCATACGACGTGACATGTGTCTCAAAAGGCTCGGTTCATAAAGATTCCCGTTCCCATCAACCGACATGTCATTTTTGTTTAGTACTTATGCCTAAACTCAAAACCGTTCACTCAATCGTTCCACAATATTCGAGCAATTTTTGAAGATACCTATGATCAAAATCTTTAAAGTATCGATGCCAAACGTGACTTTAGCTTGACAGTAATATGGACGGATGAGTTTTCAAAGCATTTTTAAGAAGGAGAAGGCATGTCATAACTATGTAAACAAAATAGATTATTTATATGCACTGAAAATACGAGACTGTAGAATAGAGATATAAATACATTTGCAACAACAAGCAACACGAGATCTCATTACTATTCTATTTGCTTGCATGTATTTCTCTTTTGAATGTGAATAAAATTGAGTTTTAATTTGAAATCAACAGAATAATTGGAAATTAAACGTGATTACTATTCAAAATCTAGCCAAGATAATCACACAAACGACAGAAAACATAAATACACACATGTGTAGACATCGGGTTTTAAAAAAGTCATCATACCCATTGGTGATATTGCTTTAAATTGTAATCGTTGCAGCGCCTCATCCGTATCATAATCACAACGCATTAACAAGAATAAAGCCTAAAAATAAAATAATGGTAAATAATAAAATAGAAAGATAAATATGTGGTTGAAATCGTGTTTGAGTCGTTAAGATAACAATTATAAGCTAAGACTGCAGACCTTATTGGTTATTCCTGCAGTTAAACAAGTGTACTGATGAGGTATAAAACTTAACACTAAATGAACGATAAAACATCTGGTATATGCATTCCGAGTGAGTATAAAGTAAAACGGACATTCTAATTTAATGAATTAAACTTAAATTGCCTATAGTATTTTCGAGAAATCAGTGTATTTCAGCATTACTACTTTACTTATTAACGAGTAGTCAAGGTGGAAAAATGTGAACTTAGAGCATAACTTTAAACATAAAGACCGAAGTTACCTCTTCGTCGTCTATTGTTCGTTCAGTAGGCAGTGTTGACAAAACAACTTGGGCATATGATCTCTCAAAGCGTGTGACATCAGCTTCACAGAGCTTTTCCGAAGGTTTCCATACAAGACTAGATTCTTGAAAAATCCGTTCAGAACCATAATACGATGATCGACTTTCATCACATTGATTCTCCATTACATTTGATGCTAGGGCAAGCATAGGGATATTTGCCTGATAATCTTCACCAATTTTTATCTCCTATTTAACATGTTGGAAATGTGAAGAGAGAAAATAGAGTTTCAGAAAATAAGTAATTTAAGTACGTAATATGAAGTTCGTACTGTTGGTCAATGAATTATAAATATTAGCATGATGGGATTATGGAGAATGCTAAACTTTTAGTTTACATCATGGGTTTTTCATTGTTAGAGAACCAATGAAAACCAGGAAGTATTGTACGTAAATTTTATCTTAATATAGGACTCCTCAGCACTGAGCACCCGCGACTCCACAACATGGATCGAATTCGAGATTTCTCGTCTAGCGGTGTGGTGCTTTATACTACGACGAAACAGTTGTCTAGTGCTTTGTTGTTTTTAGTGGCTCTCTAAGATCAGTTCGCGATGTAAACCATAAAGAGACAATAGTCAACCGGCGGCCTGCTTGAATATCTGGGCTACCTGTTCCACCGATCTAGATATTTCATCAAGTTATCTGTTTTGTTGTTTGTTTTAGCACATCACTATGTCTATTGTGCGCACAATCTATTCAGGCGCGTTTATGAAAAGTTTACAACCTTTCGCTATACGGGATACAAAAAGGTACAATCAGAGACATCATGGTTGCTGGCAATATGCATTGAAACAAATGAACATTAATCAAATGTGGATTACCGAACTCCTAACATCTAACTGGTCATCATTCAAAATTTATCGTCACAATAGATCAAGGTATAAGAAAAGGAAACTTGTTGAAATACTTTATGCTGAGAATTCTATGTTGTACCAAAAATATAATGTTCAATAAAGCTTCTAATAATAGAATAGAAGATAAAACATGTGTCGTCTGTATTTATGATTCCCATAAAAGATTAAATTTCCTATAATTGCAAACACGAAACATATTCTTGTGTAGTCACTTAATGTAGTGGTTATGAGAAACGATATAAAATTCGAGCCACCATCTGTTGATATTTCCTGGCACTATTGATCGAGACATATGTGTAGGTAATTAAGGAATTACTAAAAGATGATTCAAAACTTTAGGCAGTGAGGGTGGTGCATAAGCTTAAATTTTTCTTTTATTTCAATAGTTAAGATGAGGAATCTGAGATATCGTTTTACCCTCAATCGTATGATTGTTCCTGCCATTAATAAAATATTTTCTTAAAAGCTGTATCACTTTGTTTTGATAAATTGCTTTGAAAGCAGATATGAAATATCTGCAGACAGTATCAAGCCGAGTTTTAAATCTTGCACAAACTTAAAGTGATCAATTATTGTTGGGGTTCGAACGGTGGAGTCCAGGTTTTAGAGATTTATCCTCTTCATAACATATGACACGCTGCACAACGCAGTTTGATTCCGTTTTAAACCATAGCTGAACATGAGCTGGACTAAATTAATTAGTTTCAGGCTTTTAGATCTATCCTCCAGATATTTAGACTAAAGACAAGTGTCTAGCAAGTATTACAAAGCTCACTAAACAGGTGTACTTGGTGTCAGACACATAGGCATTATCATTGGTTAAATTTGTGGAATGATCCCAGTGTTTAAATAAGCACTACATATGAGACAAAGTCAGTTTCACAGTAAAGAATGCTATGCTACAGCCTTGTTAATTTTATCTTGTCGTGCTGATATTGTAAGACGACTACGGCTAACGCATACATGTGCGAGGCTTTACATCGACTGTCACTGATAGCAGTGACAGCCCAATAGACAAGACAACTACTACACCAAAAGGAAATCTACAAACTCAGTAAATGTGCTAAATTAATAAAATAAAGTAATTTTGATATGACTTATTGGAGAAAAAACCTGAAGTTGAGAATTTAACATTACAGAGATCGAAAAATTTAAATTCATGGTGATAGCGGTGAGGTATTTTAAACATAGAAACTACTAACATATTTAAAATTCTTTTATCCACAACAAATCAATTAATACAAGTTAATATATGATAAAGAAAGAATTGAATTTACCAGTTACCCCAAAAATATGTATTTGAGTTATATACCAGGATGAAATAGCTGTTTAATACTCCATATTTTAGTGGTTATTAAGTTAAAGTCAGTATGTGAATTTAACTACAAATTATTTATTATCAACAAACCTGTAAAACTAACTTGAAATTTGTGTATTATGACTATACTAATTATAAGTTACTAGAATTTATTTTCTTGTACTTTAATGGTTGATGTTCAACTGCTTTCTTATTGATTGACACAAAATTTATTTATTTAACCATATTAAACCGGTCATTTCGTGCTTGCAAGTATTAAGGTGTCTGCTGTTGTTAATTTCGCTACAGTGATTGGTACTGAACAATTATTGATGGTAACAGACATGTATTATGTCAAGAGACGTTCTCACTAAATCTCCCACTGGGTTATTGGGTATTAACGGTCACAAAAATACTGGGACACAAGAAATGCACTGAAAAAAACCTACACCTTTCCAATCACGACCACTATCTTCACTTGGACAGTAGTCTTCGTCTTCGTCTGAATTGTACGAAGGTGTAGTTTCTTGACCTTTTTAGGATGAAAAGAAAGCAAAACTTGTCAGGAGACATAAACTAGTTTTGCTATGCATTATCACTAGACAAAAGACTGTACCTGTCGTATCTTCAAGGAAATAACAAATACTAATGAAAGAAAGGGTTCTCGTTTATATTACAACAGAGCATTGCAAAGATGAAAAGAAATATAAAAAGATCAGTACAAATACAATGCTAAGTTCTATTTCAGAACAGAATGAACACACTTTTGTTGTAATGGTGCAGAGGCAAATTGTTTGGTAAGAATTAGTCAGCCATAAGAAATTCACAAAGAAACGGGATGATATGACACGCAAAATAAACGTACCTACGCCTGTTACTCTTCTTGGAGCATAGGCCGACGACCAAGATTCTCCAACCTAATATGTCCCGGGCTCTCTTTTCCAGTTGTTCGAAAATGCTGTTTGTTCTGGTAATGTCTGTCTTTGATTCCCGGTGCAGCGTGTTATTTAGTCTGCTTCTTTTCGTTTTCTCCTCAAGATTGCAAGTCAGCGCTTGCTTTATGATGCAGATCGATGACGTCCGCAACGCATGTCCTACCCACCACCAGTATTTCCCTAACTTCCTCTTCAGTTGGAAGATGGTTTGTCCTCTCCCACAGGTTATTGCTGATGGTGTCTGGCCAATTGATTTCAAGTATCTTGTCTGAACAATTGTTTATAAATACGTGTACATCTTTGATTATGGTTGTAGTAGTTCTTCACGTTTCAGCTTCGTACAATAAAACTGTCTTGACGTTCGTATTGAAGATTCTCACTTTGAGGTTGGTTGACAACTGTCTTGAGTTCCATATGTTTTTTAACTGTAGGAATGCCAATCTTTGCATGTACGTCTGCATTGGACCCCCTTTGTTCATCGATGATGATGTTCAAGTATGTGAAAATTCCCACCTCTTCCACAGCTTATTTATCAAGTACGATTTCGTTGGTGCTCACTGTGTTGTATTTCAGGGTTTTGCATGTTCCCTTGTGTATGCTGAGGTCTACCGCTTTAGAGGCTGCTGCTGGTATGTTGTCTGATCCAGCTGCTTCCCATCTCTTGATTTTTCCGATACTCTTGCTGATTTATTCAATTTTTGGTGAGGTAACAGGAGGTCTGTATGTGCTGATTTGATGTCCGGTGGGTTTAGTGCGGGTCGCTCTATTCAAGAGTTCTTCGAAGTGCTCTAACTACCTGTTCCGCTGTTCTTGAATCGCAGTGATTGGTTTGCCTTTTTGTATCCGACTGGTCGCCCTGACTTACTGTTTTCTCGTCAGATTCTTCGCCGTATCTTACAGTTATCTCCTACCTCCCTTTCTTGAAGCTTTTTCCGTTGTCATTGCTAGGTTTCCAACGTATTTCCGCTTATCAGCTCTAATGCTTTTCTTCACCTGCTTCGGTTTGGGCACCCGGACAGTATCACAGCCCTTACACAAATCAAATGAGATATGTGTGGCGCATATGTATTTGGTGCCTCCTTGTACCAATATCTATGTGTTAAAATAAATAAATAAATAAAAATGCTTCTCTTCACTCCTTTGTTTGCTTCTGTGTATTCGGCCTGTGCCTTGACTTTCTCTGCTCTTGTTCGGCTGTTGTTGATTGCTGCCTTTTTGTTCTTCTTTTCTCGAATCTTTTCCAAGATATCAACAGAGATTCATTGTTTATGATGGTGCTTCTTGAGGCCCAGGACGTCCTCTTTAATCTCATCCCAGTTGTTCTCCAGTGTGGTTTCCTCTTTTTTAGTAGATCTTTTAAAGGTTGGGATTTATTGCTGTGAGCAATTTTGCATTCGCTGAGTTGGTTAGCACCTCGAAGGAAGGCTATATTGAACTTTTGTGATTTTACTTGTCCAGTTTTCCAATTCTTTTTTTTATTTCATTTCTAGCTTGACCACCATCAAATAGGGTCTGAAACTATATCAGCTCCTCAACAGTCTAACTTTGTGATTACTTATCGATTGACATTGTGTCATTGTATATCTTCTAGATCCATCGTTTTAATAAACTAAGACGTGCTCAACATCATTAACCTTAAAATAATTTTCCAGGTTGATCTTAGCCAGACCACGATTGAAAACCTGGAAGCACCGGACGATTGTTTCGTCCTAGTATGAGACGCCTCAGCAGTGCGTATCCACGATCCTGTACACGAGACTCAAACCCAAGTCAATGTGGCAAGCTGCATTCATTCACCTTCATCTAAATCTTCAGTATCATTTCTAAATTTCTATTCTTCTATCTCATTTGTTCTTTATGATACAGCGAAAATTCCCATTTAGACATGGAAGAAAAAGACGAATAGAGCGAAGTGATATTTCTTTTCAATTAATTTCTTATAATGGCCCTACAATAATACGTATATGACTCAGAAATAATAAAAAATACGAGCCAGGTGACATGTTAGATACTTTAACGAATCTGAGTGTTTATAAAAATAATTGGGAATGCTTAGCAAAACAATTAGAACGACAGTTCAACGCCTCCTCCCCCAAGATATTTAAAAACAATCGGCGCTTATACTATACCTATTATTATTACAAAAAGTGACGTGAATCATTTCGTTTTATATATTATTTTTCCTCATTTTCCGATTTCTCTAGATTGACCTTTATTTCTCCACATACATAAATGTGTGATTATATTCTATGGAATGTATTGCGTGAATATACTATATCACATAGTTCTGACAAACTTTGTTTCCTCATTACACTAACTCGGTTCGTCAGAGGGACCGATTACTAAAGAAAATAAACAAATGATAATACTTAGTAGGGTTTTTAATTGCTAAGATATCATAACAACGTTCACATTTCGATCGTACCTACATTTTACGTGCCGGTTTCCACTTATTTCTTATTATTTCCAGTAATCAAGGTTAGGTTTGCGCGAGGTCATATCTTTAAACTTAATTTCAGTGAAAACTGTAGTCCGATGGTTTAGACGATAAGCCATCACAAATGGATAGTGTGTTCATACGAAATTTATCCACATTTCGGATCTTGGGCTCGAAAGAATGGGCAAATTACCAGCTCAGTCACACTATACATTCTATTAATATTATCAGCTAAATATGGAGCGGTGGCAAATTTTTAAAATACCCGATTTTCAATCAGTAGGTCCCACATTTGAACCTCGCTTTACCTTTAGGGATTCTTGTAGATCGCCTGTCCTCATCCAAAAAGTATGAGCTAAAATTAAGTACATAAACTTGTAATTCGTGAATGAGCAAAATTAATCATATGTTACACGTACACTTCCGAGACATAAAATGGTAGAAAACTTACTAGGTTAGTAAACCCATTAGACACAGTTTTGACGCGAAAACTCAAAAATTACTGTTATATACCATATAGTACATGAAAAACGGACTAAAAAACACACATCATGGTCAGACTAGGACTATTAGTCTCCAAATTTTCGACTCGATTTCGAATTAGTTGAGACGCTAAAGCAAACTATCAAAGAGTGACAATCTGGGGGCTTTTACAGGGAAATTTGGTTTCAAGATTAATTGTCATTTACACAACACGAATCTATCTAGTTTACTCACCAGTAATTGCACTCTTCCAGAAACGTGAAGAATAATCTTGATTGACTTCAAACTTATCGTCAGTAGTTTGTTCATTTTTCTGGAAATGATTTTCTACATCCAGCTCAAAGTTAGGCACACTTGTATCAACATCCTCTTCCTCCAACTGATTCTCTTCATTTGGAGTTGCACTGTCCAATAATTCAGAAGTATGGATAGCTAGGTTAGATTTTGAGCGGGACCTAAGTAGATGACTACGCGATGAGCTTTTGCGACTAATAGTTGAGTCTTCTGAGGCATGTTGTTTTGAATAACTAGGAGTTGCAGTGGCTGAAGGAGGATCAGAAGATGATACATCTATAGACACCGGACTAGTGCTATGCGAACAAGGGACTGAGTGTGGATGTGGAAATACAGTGAGCTATGTAAAGAGACGGGATATAACATCAATCTTGTAAAATTTGCACCAAATTTCATTTATATTATTAGAAATAAACTAAGATAATTTATACAATAAATCATTCCGTCAATTGAGAGTGTGATTTTGAGGATTGAAAGAGATTTTAAAGGACAAAATCAAAATTAAATATGATCGTTGACACAGTTTATAATGATAATTTGACTGAGAAACAATGTACAGCTTCGTGCGCTAGTCTATAATCTAAACCAACTGTGTAAAAGATAAAGAAATAACTTTACTGTCTAAACTAATCGATTGTAAAGCTAGATCTTAAAATCAATAAACCAGATTTTTGACCCGAAACTAGTCATTGAATGGACACGAGTGATATAAACGTTTACCCCTGAATTCCAATTGAAGCTAAATTGGTCAATGAATTTAAGATGAGTATTTAACTAGAAACGAGTCTAAATCGTGTTAGACCGATCTAAAAGTTCGTGAATTATGTGATTAGAGCGAAAATATTGGTATAATTTAACGACAAACAGAGCATCATGATATTTTCAATAGAGTTAATTATAATACAATATACCCATAAATCTGCTAGATGGACATGACTTAAACGACGACAGTGCGTCAATCTTTTTCCCGGAATTGTCTTACGTCTAGAATACAGCTTTCTGTCAAAACAATCATTTTAACTGGAAGAACAAATAATATATAAATTAAACACTGATAATTTATCCAAATAACTCACACAACGTAATGGAGGTGTATCGACTTTGTTTTTATCTACCAATGCATCAATATCTGACGATGAACGAATGGTTGGGTAATCAGCTGATGATACTGGTCTAGTTCCTCCTGTAGAAATATCATTATTTCCAATATTTAAGCAGAGAGATATGTGAGCAGCACGACGAAACTTCTTAGCTGGAGGTAATGATACCGATTCCTCCCGTAATGAAGCTAAACTTGAAGGAGTAACAGTGTGTCGAATGCTTTTTAAGCGCCCAGATTTACCTCTGGAAATGCTGCTACAGGAAACTGCAACAGAGTCGCCGTCTTTCCCGTAAGGGTTTGCAGGAATTCCGTATGTAGCTAAAAGTTCATCTAATGACATTTGACTTTCCTAAAATCAAAAGAGTAAACAAATTGCCAAGCACTAAAGATTTTCCTTACTACCTCTATACACATGTAAATAGTTAACGCAAAAATGAATATCGAAATAAGGGGAAAATAAAAACATGTATGAAACTTACATCTACTATACGAACTGTATGGAAAAACAATACAAATATTCAATGTAAGTTTTATGCAGATGCAGAATCTTACATCAGGAGGGGCTAAATGTGACGCCGTTCAAAATACTGAAGGTATGCATTTTTAGAACACTCACTAAAGTTAAGCTGATAATGTATATCTTTCATAATATGACTTTCAAAAATTGTGTAAGATATAACAGGGGTTAACTGGTATTTAAGTACTCTACCATATAGTGATAAAAGACAAGTTAAAGTCGAGTGAATTTCGTGTACGACTGACTGACTTTCGATAAGAACGCATACAAGCAAACCCTACATAACCCACACTTCTAAGATTTTAAATCAAAACCGATGTTATCATTGGATTATTTAAACCAACTTTATATATGCAGAATGGGGCTGTGTATATGATATAATCACCAGTGCTAACGTACCTAGGTATAATGCAATACATTTAGACTCCCAAGAGAAATTTTTTCCAATGGTGTACACATTCCTTCTCGATGGATTTGATAAAATATGGAAACTAAGTCAACACTCATTTATAGTTTTAAAACAAAAGCTAGCAACAGTAGGATCATCGTTAATCTATTTTGAAACCCTATACTTCAAAGGAAGTACCATGATTGAATTCAGAATATTATGAAGTTTAAAAGCAAAAAATTCTCATTTGGTTATTTTTCACACTAAATAAGTTTAGAAATGCTGTATACAATATAATTACAGCACGAAATATTTTACACTGCAGATTAGATTAACTCACTTTCATGAGACTTGATACTTCTTCCTCGTCAGCAGCATCTTCCTCTGGAGGAATACTGTCATCATCTTCTACCGAAACGTCCCGTTCGTCAAAATCACTATCGCTCATCCCATCAGCTTTACGTACGGTGCTATCTAGACAAGGCCCAGGATTGTCTGCAGATCGATTAGTTGTTTCAGTCGTGCTGGGATTATAATCTGTCTGGGGTTCAGACGACTCTGAAGCATGTAAAGTTGGTTCCCGATTTTTTTCAATTAACATTTGTGAAATCCAGGTTTAAAAAGATATTTACATAAAGTTCTGCAACATACAAAACCAAATGACTCGGGGGATCAAATATACTACCGTATACATCGAAACAAAACCACCGAACGTCAGTGATAAAGATGTGTCATCTGGATGGAACCATTATTTCCAAAAAATTAAGTTCCCATCTCAAAACACCAAACATCCAGGCTAGCTGTCTGCCGTAACATGTTTTACGCTAGTAATGTAAATTTCTAACAACGAATTAGCACATTTTAGCAACGTTATATGCTTGAAATGGTTCCCATAAATAGCTTACAAAGGTAGAGAAGCTGATGTCGGAATATGCACGAGGTCAAATTTATTTGTTGCTCTGGGTCTGTTTTAACATTTGTTTTTCCTTAAATACTCTGAGATTTAATAAGTGGTTTGAGCGGGGCTTTTGGTCGACTCAATCCAGTATGTACTGGAGAAAACTGCCAGTCAGTTGCGATCTCCATATACAAAATAATAGTTCGTAAAACAAAGCTTAGAGCACAGTGGTTACATGCCTTGAGCTTTCAGTCGGAATGCGGTTTATGAACTATTTGGGAAATATAAAATGAACCTGCCTCTGGCCATTTTAAACATCAGGCTAACGAAATGATGTACAGGCACAATTTGTGGATGTTTCATTTCAAAGGAACTACGCAACTCATACTTTGATTCAGTCTCGCTCATCTCTAAGTGCGACTGGAACAGTGCTTCTATGTGATGCACCTACTGAGCCAGGAGTTTCAAGACAACATGTAACGCTGTCAGATGAAGACAATAAGCAAGATTGTGCCTTTGGTTGGTAATGCTCTCACATGGCCACGCGTATATAGCCATCGACAGGGAAGTCCTACTCATTGCCTTCTCGTGGTGGGGGTGTTGTTTACGAAAGTGAGGGCGAAAAGCGAATCTCCGGCGCTTTGACCGGGTTGGTGGACATGGAGAGTCCACCTAGGAAGTTGGGAAACCCTGATTCCAAACCAATGGTGCACATGGGCTCCAGTATCCTAAGGGAACTAATCGTTCGTCACCGGCTACCATGGAACTGCATCTCCTGACGTTGCTTCACTGCCTTGTGGATCAGACCTTCAGGTCGAAGGCTCCGGTTGTGGCCCCCTTAGAAAACCATCTGCTTCGGTTTGGGCACCCGGACAGTATCACGGCTCTCACACAAATCAAATGAGATGTGTGGTGCATATGTATTTGGTGCCTCCTTGTACCAATGTGTTAAAATAAATAACTGAATAAAAACGGGGTGCGAAGTCTTCCCTAAACTAGGATCAGATTAGATAGAACACTAGAAGGTGACATTGTACTGTGACATTGCACTGACTTATTGTATCAGTGATAGATGACATAATCACTCTAAAATCCTTAGGTGCAAATATTACAGAAAGAGGACTGGTATTAAAACACCAGCTGTTTGTGGCCATTTTAGAAAGATTAAATCACAATTTAATTTTAATCTCAAGGATTAAACCAACAGGAAAAACGCTCCAACAAACAACTGGCCTATAACTACTCTTCAATCGCCTACACATGACGAACACTCAGCAACTATGAACAGCATAGTAATGTGATAGGAAGAAAAGACGTCTAGAACCTATGTCAGGCTTTAATAGTTTCGGAACTCTTCTCAATAACAAAAATCCGCCAAGACTATGTAGATCTTGGAAGCATTAAACATTGGATGTGTCATTACTGCCTAACACATTAGTAACCTGAGCACACCATAAAAGTTGTAAAGGATGTTAGATGACATCGCCACTCAGATTTTGCATGAAAAGTAAGTACTTTGATGCTGTTTCTTTCAAACACGAATAAGCTGAAAATATTTAAATTTAAGAAAGTACAAACAGATATGTATCTGATTTCAGTTATCAGCAACTTAGCACAGTTCCCTAAGAAACTGAGATGAAAAGGTAAATGGCATAAATGATACGGCAATCGGTTCCACTTAAATCACTGGACTTACGGCACTTCGCTCTGGAGTAAATTATGTGCCTCTTATCTTTGTGGCAAGCGAGTGTAAACCGACTGATCTTTTGTGTTAGGTTCTTGGCGTTACAATAATGTTTCAAGTCCTTAATGCTTACAATGAGTTGTCTGGTCACTCAAAGTGAACTATTCCTAGTGAACTTAGTAGTTATTTGGAAGCTAACATCTCTTGACTATCTATGGGGTTGTTAGAGCTTCCAGCGATCATGATAAAGTATGTTGGTTAGTTATAGATCGAAACTACGAGATTGGAATGCAGAGGAGCAAGGAATCAATCACGAGTAAACGAATTGCGCTGAGATACAAATAAACACGGTTTTAAAATAACAGATAAACGGAGATGACAAGGGATAAAGTGAGTAGAAACAGGCTGATGATAAATCAAGTACTCATGTCGATGGTAATTGATGTAAGTTGTGAAACACGGTTTCGGCGCAAACGTCTCAGGCGAAAGACAAGCCATGGGTCACAAACGGTCTTCAGTTCTCCTCTTGGGGCTGTACACTGAGGGGGTCGGGCTCATATCGGCTGGGAAAGCATTCGGAATGGAATTGACTCAAGGTGAAAAGGTAACCTTAAGCAGGTGTTTGTCCTTTAATGTGCAATTGTTAAAAATTCATTCGGTGGAGCGCAATGATGGGGATTTAAGCAGAACGTTTCTGCTGAGATGACTCGAAATAAATAATAAACTGTATCCTATCATCAAATAACCACTTATTTTCTTGAAACCCACTGGGGATAATGATGTTAACATAACCAACAGTCTTAACTGTATATAGAATTACAACTAGTAGTCCCATTTGCAGTATGAGTGGAGATTTTTGATACTGGCTCACATACAGAACTGTACCAAAAAAACCTACCGACAGGACAATAATTCCGCGCCTCTTCAAGCGGAAGCGAATTAGAAGGAGGTTCAGGGTGTCCAACATGAAAATGTTTTGAGGATAACTTGCATGTATTTCTTCTTCCATCCTACCTCTTCCTCGAGAAGCGATTCCACGTGTTCAGCTTAATCATACACTCTTATTTGAACACCTCAAATGATAAACCATCATAATCTTTAGATCCAATATCTAATATCTTTGTCACCATCTTGTGTAAACAAAATGATTTGCTCTTGCTTACTGTTGTTTCGGTATGGTTCCAGGCATTCGGTTATGTTCAATGGGCGATAGTCTAGTCACTCATGTGCACTAATTTTAGTCAGTTTGGTAGCTATTTGTTGATATGTATATCTTGTAACTCGAGTGACTGTGTCTGTATAATGACAGTAGGGTTTCTAGATGCCAGTATCTGTCATATCAGCATGCAGAAGCTTGGTTGGTCGCACTATGGAAAGTAATGAAGTGATAATTTGAGTGCTGAGAGAAAACGATTGTTTCATGAAGTGAATGAATAGATAAGTTCACACATCGACAGATGCATGCTGTGTAAGAAGACAGAAGTGTAAAAATAAAATGGGAAACGGAGGTGATAATAAGCCAGGTAGGAAGCCGTTAGTGGTGGGTAGTGATGAAAACAGTGGGTAAATTATGAAACTTTCAGCCACAAGTGCTTCAAGCAAGAGATTATAATCATTGGGTGAGTACATCTTTGTCAAGTCACTTCATGAAGCTATCCCTAGAGTCTTTAAGGCGTTCAAAATTTTACGTCAGTTATTCGCTAATCGAAATACGACTTATACAATCTTAGCACTGTAGATCACCAACGTAGATGATCTATGTCGAAATGATTGCAGGCCTACTCGAGTTAGACGTCAATGTTGTGACAAACTAGCTAACGTCGAAGTCACACCTCGAGGTCAGCGCTTTACGTGGACTACCCCATTGATGTATCAAGGTACCATAGATGCTTTGAAGACTGTACAACACAGAGGACGTTATTACAGAAATATATTAGTTAAAGTAGATACAAGCGAAAGTGAGACCACTGCCGCATGGGCCAGTCCATGGTACACGATTAACTGATGCGCGTTGGTTGTCACTGACCTTGACGAGGATCGATGATTTGCTCGATATTCAGTGACCCAACTGCCGGATGATTTGGCTATGGCTTAGTGACATTTCGCTGGCCCTACATTACTCCCCCACTAGATTCAACGGTCGTTTGAATCGGTACCAAACACGTTGGGAGTAGTTGCGCGCCGGAGATTACCAAACGATTAATATGAATCCTCCGGGTATTTCCGAGCTGTAAAACAAAATGGAAAGTATGCGGCAGAAACTGATCGGGAAAACAGCGAGTAACAATATGTTAGTACGACGTTGGTTAAACGTAAAGCGATTGACCATATAAATAATGAAAAGAACCAAACGTTTTATTGTTCTATCAAGTCGCGCTGAAATATATAGCTTTGACAAATAATTGAGTCCCTCCGATGAGAAACGCTAAGTTTGCCGTAAGAGTAATGATGCTATAGCGATAGCAGGGTAAGTGTATTATCAATCGATGCCGATGTCTATAGTGCCATTGATTTAAAGTTGAATGTCAGACAGTGTCGTTGACAGCTTCTAGTTATATCTATATTTAACAGACTAACCGTAAGGACAGAAGTATAACCGTGAAGAGTGGTCGTGATTTCGTTGTGCTAAGCTATTAATCAACTTGTAGTCCGAGGTTGAATAGTCGATGACTGCTGTTACAGTCAGTAAGGGTTGAAGGCTACAAATCGACAGCAAAGGTGGCACGATGAATTCTCTAAAAGATGATAAACGGTAAGTGCTGCGTGTTTGTTCGGTTAGTGAACAGAAAAATATCGAAAAGAACATAAGAAACCAAGAGTGTCACTCTGGACTCATGTAAATGATACCCGTGAAAAACGCTGTCAGTGTTGTGATGGAGGCGACAATGTCGTTTTAAGTTTGCAGGAGATTCGCTTGACTGCATAAACTGATGATTCGCGCGAATGATAATGTCGTCAGACCACCAATTGAACTGGACAGGTTTTAGATCGTTGAGTAGTTGAGCAGCCGATTGATATACCGAAATCATCTGGTAGATAACAGCCACGAGGAAACAATACTTCATAAAATAAAGTACGATATCGAAGTAGAATAACTACAATAGTTCGGAGGTGTTATAAAGTCAAATCTAAATAACATCGTTCTTACGTATACTAACAGTTGCACTGAACAGTCGTTTAGGTATTATCAGCGTAACAGTTGGATAAGTGAATAAAAACATATACGAAAACTATGGTTGGGTTCGTGGAGAATTTTTGAGGACGTTTAGATATTTTCCAAACCCGTACTGTATACAAATGAACCGAAAATGGAATTAAAATGACTGTCGGGTAATAAGGAAATCGAGTCATGATTTACCGTGTGAAATAATAGCAAATACAAGGAGTATAATAAAAAATGTAACCACCAATGTAACGAAAGTAGACTGAATATGTATAAGTCCAAAATTAATTTAAGCCAAACATAGCATTACCTGACGAACAGATTAAACGAGATCTAAGATTGCAGGAAATTTATAGTTCAAACTCACCGTAAATTTCTAGAATTCGTATCCTCTGTTTGGACATGGAACTCAGCAATTGGAAATTAGGCAGGCGGTGGTAAAAAAGAAAGCAAAACAGTCTAGTGGATAGTGGTTAAGTAGAAAGATGAATTTATAATCGATAGTTAATTTTGTCTTATTTATACCAGTGGATAAGTTACAAACAGATGTACGTTCGTGTTGCCTTGTGGCTATACTCACGAGTGGTTTATATGTTAACAGACATATTACACAGGAGCATTTACATGCTGCTAATGCTTGTTAAAGAACCACGATATCCGATTGTAATCGTAGTTGATTGGTTAATTCTGTCGATTGAACTAAGTATTTAAGTTTAAATACTAATCAACATTGACATGAAGCAACGAAAGTTCACAGTGATAGATTAACATAGGCGATGATAAAAATGAAAAAGAATAAGTATATAACACAATAATAAAGATTATAGTGATAGGTTGCGTTATTCGAAGTCTTGCTCACCAGTGTAGATAACCAACGTAGATGATCTATGTCGAAATGATTGCAGGCCTACTCGAGTTAGACGTCAATGTTGTGACAAACTAGCTAACGTCGAAGTCACACAAGATAGTTCTTCAGATTCATAAAAGAAACAGAAGCTAAAACGTCACGGATGGTCAAAATAAATAAGAAAGGGTGAAACACACTAAGAGAGAAAAGGAAACGTAAGTTAGATGAAATGCTGTGCGGCAGACGAGTATTCGGGTCTGGAATTAAAGTGTTAGATGGTGGAGCGTGTGTGCCGGAAATTCGCTATGAGTATGTAGTGTATGTATGTTCTTTCGGCCATAAAAAGAAGCCAGAGGGCTATGGTCAGAGAGTAAAAGGGTAAATGATTATTATTATTGTTTTCAATTTTTACAGACCAAAGTTTGGTGGTTGCAAGGCCATATTTCGTTTACGGTATGCTGTGAACCGGTTCGTCATATCGTCGTCGAGGATGATACATAACCATCCTGGTGATGAAAAGTGCTTGAAAAATGATCCTTGGTTCAGAGGACTAAGTGAAGATCAGTTGAAGGTTGTTCTACCGATGGTTAAGACTGGAAGTAGTGCTGAATCTATTGTTAAGTATGCAGAAGAAAATTTCGAAAAGACAATAACAGTGCATTATGTCAATCATTTAAAATATAAATTTGTCGGACGTAAGCTTATCCCATATATCTACGGTTTTTTAGGTTGTGAAAGTTTAAACAAGGTAATTGCAACCTTGCGGAACAATGGAAAATTGTTCGTTTCTTATGGGGGTGTGGCTAAACAGGTCACAAAGATAGCATTTAACACACACGAGCAAGTTGTAACATACAAACGGTTCCCTGAAGTTGTGTGTTTGGATTCAACATACAACACGAACAGTGGAAAGTAAGTTAAATTTTGTCTTTCGTTATAAACTCTTTCAGTTGGTTTGTACAGATAGCTGCGGGCATGGAGTCCCAGTTATGTTTGCTTGGACCAAGGAAGAGAAGAAGGTTGATGTTGTAGATCACCAACGTAGATGATCTATGTCGAAATGATTGCAGGCCTACTCGAGTTAGACGTCAATGTTGTGACAAACTAGCTAACGTCGAAGTCACACCTCGAGGTCAGCGCTTTACGTGGACTACCCCATTGATGTATCAAGGTACCATAGATGCTTTGAAGACTGTACAACACAGAGGACGTTATTACAGAAATATATTAGTTAAAGTAGATACAAGCGAAAGTGAGACCACTGCCGCATGGGCCAGTCCATGGTACACGATTAACTGATGCGCGTTGGTTGTCACTGACCTTGACGAGGATCGATGATCTGCTCGATATTCAGTGACCCAACTGCCGGATGATTTGGCTATGGCTTAGTGACATTTCCCTGGCCCTACAGCACTATGCAAAATCGATGACGTATCGACCGCTATGAGCAACGTAGCGTCCTTATTGGTCTTTTGTCTTCCTAACCCTGCCAGTTGAGTCCAGAAATCCAATACCGGCTTTCACTATACAAGCCATTTATTTCGAACATACTTGATTTATATGCAATCCAAACGGATCACATCACACCATAAAATAGGAAATAACATTTGTACAAGACCAAGCAAAAAAAGTGGCTGTGATCGTGGGTGACTGCAGTTAATAAATTGAACATAACTTAAGAACTGTGAGCCGTGTAATAATGGTCTCTAGCTTATGATGGGAAGATGGTGAGAAGAATATAGATATGCAGATACATAACCTAGCTACTGAATGGCTATACAATGAAAAAATGTATAATATAAGTCCATCAATAGTTCTTAGAAGTTACCCGTAATTTGGTCTTTAATAGGATATAACACTATCCACTTGGGAAGCTTTGGTCATTTCAGAAGAGCGTTTCAAGTGGGGGCAGATCTTAATGA